ACCTAGACTGAATCCGTCTAGGTTGCCAACCTAGACGGATTTCAGTCTAGGTTGGCAACCTAGACGAATTTCTCAATTCCGTCTAGGTTGATCTCCGTCTAGATTAGTCAATCTAGACGAAATTCTGTCTATTTTGCTCCAACCTAGATGGAATTAGACTAGACGGAGTAGACTAGACGAAAATCCGTCTAGGTGGATTAACCTAGACGGTAAGTGGAGCAATCTAGACAGACTTTTCCGTCTAGATTGCTCGTTTTTCTACTAGTGCCTTATGAATTTTGCAAACAACGCCCAATATTCTTTGGGTAAATTACACAACACCCAGTAACTTTCAATGTTGTTTCCTGGTGCTAATTTATGGGGGGTTATGCGTAAAATGTAGAAACTTCTGCAAAACAGAAAAGTTATTGTAGGGTTAGTATGATTTTGAAAGTTCACAGGGGTTTAATGCAAAATGCTAAAAGTTCATGGGGGGTTTAGTGTAATTTACCCAAAAATTTAAATACTCTCATCGAAATCTTATGTATTATACACTCACTATTCAGCCTCAAAGTGATCAGCTGTACAACTAGTGTACGTAAATCTAACTCAAAAGATGCAACGAAGAACTCAAACACAAGAATCATCACCGTAACCACCACCACCTTTCACTCCAACAAGGGGAGCTACATCATTCTCTCCTCCCTCTGGCGATTTGCTCCCTCGATTCTCAAAACTCCTCTCGCACCGCTGCAGGACTTGCAACACCTCTTTCATCGACGGTCTGTGTTCAGGGACGCTACCAGTGCAGATAATCCCCAGCCTGAGCACGAGTTCAATCTCATCGGTGTACGCTGGATCTCTGATCTTTTCGTCAATTAAGTTGATTAGGCTACCTCCTTCTTTGAAATTTTTCCAGGCCCAGTCGGCTAGGCAACTGTGTTCGTCCCCGTGGTTGGCCTCCCTACCGGTGGTTAGCTCCAGGAGTACCACTCCGAAGCTGAATATGTCGACTTTTTCATTCACTTTGCTTGACCATCCGCATTCTGCACATTCACAGCGGTGACGGTAAGGATCGCAATTATTTTCATTACTAACGGCAAGTAGTAAAAATAAGTACATGAAAATATCTATAAAGTAGGCAATCCTGTGACGCTTCTGGATGATAAGAAGATCTGTTCGTTATCAATATCATCAGAGAATGGTCATAATTCAAGTCATGTCAGTATAGCTAGAAGTGCACAGACTGAGAAAAATGTATTGATCAGATAAGAACTGTTAATGTGGGAGTTGGAATGTTGTATTTATAGTTGTTTCGTTCCTTTTCTCTGTAATAGGAATGTCGAGATCTTAGGGAAAAAAATATAGGTTGAAAAGAAACGAGATATAACATATAAGCACTCTGATAATGGGTGGCAATATTAAAAACATGCTTTCAGGTTTGTCACAAATGTCGGTATTTTCTGGGCTCACTGTTTCTCTCAAAAATGGTGGTGCTGCTAAATTAATCGAAACGTAAGGTTTTGATTGAGATACATTACCTGGAGCCATATATCCAAAAGAACCCGCGACAACAGAGACCGATTCAGGCTCACCAGCCTTTACCAGCATCCGAGCTAGCCCGAAGTCAGCAATCTTTGCGTTAAATTCCGAATCCAACAAAATGTTACTAGCCTTCACATCTCTATGCACAATGGGAACAGAACAACCATGGTGCATATAACACAGTCCCTTCGCGGCTCCGACCGCTATCGCCAACCTCGCAGGCCAATCCAGTGTCTCAGGCTGCCCGGGCTCACCACCGACCGCCAGCGGACCCCGCGTTCGGCGTTTAGAATGGAGCCACGCGTCCAGGCTCCCGTTCTCCATGTACTCGTATACTAAAAGCTTAGAGTTGGGACTCGAGATGCAGCATAATAATTTTACAATATTTGCATGTCGAATCGAGCCCAGGATTTGGACTTCGGCCTGAAACTCCTTTTCCAGCTTGGAATCCATTTTCCGGGAGTTGCATATCCTTTTGACCGCTATCGTCTCTCCGGTACGCCTACCGAGGACGATCTTGTAAACGAATCCAGCTCCTCCGCTTCCAATCAAATTCTCATTTGTAAGTCCTTTGGCAATGTTGGACTCATTGAGCTCACCCAAGTGAAAGGAGGTCATTTTCCATGACTTCCGGTCATTGTTGAGTTTTCTTTTTCTGTATTCTCTCAGCACGAAAAATCCCAACACGACCGCGCCTATAAAGAAAAGCGCCCCAAGAATTATGAAGAGAATTAGTAGACCTGTCGAAAGATTGACTGAACCAGAACTCTTTCCTCTGCAAATGCGAATATTTATTTGAGGATTCGATGAGCAGAGACTTGGATTAGAGACAAAACTGTAATCATAGGCTTGATTTTGTAATTGGACAGGAACTTCGCCCGAGAGATCATTTGAAGAGAGATTGAGGATGTTGAGCTTCATGTTTCCCAGAGAAACTGGAATTGAACCGGTTAACTGGTTGTCTGATAGATCAAGCGTGTTAAGCACCCGTAAAGACCCGATGTTGGCTGGTATGTCGCCGGAGAGACGATTACTGCTCAAATTAAACTGGGTGAGAAATCTCAAAGATGATATGGAGTTGGGGATTTCGCCCGAGAGCTTGTTACCACCAAGATATAGAATCTGCAGGCTAGAAAAACTTCCAAGATTCGCTGGTATGGTACCATTAAACAAGTTTTCGCTGGCTTTAAATACCGCTAGCTTTTGTGCAGCGGATGGAATATTACCTGAAAATCTATTGACTTGGATCTCCAACCGCGTCAGATTAGAAGGTAGTTCTTCAGGTAGAGTGCCGGAAAACGAGTTATGGTGCATGATCACAGTCGTCAGATTGACCGCCGTCGACCAAAGCCCAGCTGGCATTTGGCCGTAGAAATTGTTATTCTGCACCATAAGGTTGTTCAGAGTATTACAGGTTGCGAGTGATGACGGCAATTTGCCAGTGAAATTGTTGTTGAAGACGACAAGCGATGTGAAATTGCCTCTAGAACAAAGGAACTGGGGAAGTTCACCGGAGAGCGAATTGTCATCGACTTCCAGGTTCCAGAGATTTGAGTGCTTCCCCAGTTCAGGCGGGAGAACACCTGTCAATTTGTTGCTGAAGAGCTTGAGATTGGTAAGAGAAGGAAGAAGCCCAATTTCTGCAGGAATCTCGCCTGATAGCTGATTGTAGTACAAGGAGAGCAGCGTCAGATTCTGAAGCTTGCCAAAACCTGCAGGGATCGAGCCTGTCAAATTATTCATCGACAGATCGACCTGTGTCAACCCTTGAGCTCCCACCTTAGTATCACTGATCGCCCCGGACAATTGATTATGATACAGATAAATCCTCTCAAGCTTCTTCAGCATCCAAATCCCTTCAGGAATTCTCCCGCTAAGAGAATTCATCGATAGATCCAACTGTACGAGATTCTGTAACTTCCCAAATGTATCAGGGATACTTCCATGTAAATTTGTCGAGGCCATCCACAAGAAACTTAGACTCGACATGCTCCCGAATTCGGCAGGAATCTGCGAAGGTAAGAAAGGATTACTCGCGAGCCATAGATGTTCAAGATTCAGTAAGTTGCCCAGTTCAGCTGGATACGTTCCATTAAAGAGGTTGTTATCGAGCAAGAGGTATTGCAGTGCAGACAGTTGACCGATCGAAGAGGGAATATCACCGGTGAAATTATTCGAGGATAAACTCAAATGATAGAGCTTATTAGAAAGTCGATTGATCGTCGAGGGGATTGAGCCGACAAAGAGATTCTGTGAAATGTCAAGGTACTGGAGATTGTTACAGTTGTATAAGGACGTAGGAAATGAGCCAGGGAGGTAATTCCAGGACAGGTCGAGATAGGCGAGATTGCTAAGGTTGCAAATGGTATGGGGTATCGGGTATGTAATGTTTTGATCCGATAAGGAGATACCGGTAACAGAACCGTTGGTGCATTGGATTCCGGTCCACTCGCAATGCGAAGTTGAAGTAGTGTTCCATGAGGATAGAGAGGGTGGGTTATTGAAGTCTTTCTTGATCTGAAGAAGGATTTGTTGCTCGGTTTGGGATGTGGCTGTGGTGAATGAGGAGATGAGGAGAGAGAGGAGGAGGAGGAGGAGAGAGTTCGCCGCCATTGATGGGGCTCTGAGAGATGAGGATGGAGGTTTTGAGTGCTGAGTTTTGATGATGGTGGGCTGAGCCTTTGTTGCTTAAATTTGAGGGGTGGGAAAGCTCGGCTGATTGTTGAATGGATTTGTTGGGGTTTGCTGGTGATGGGCTTTAATCATTGAGTTTCTAGAGGGTTGACGGGATTGAGTGGAGGTTGATGGAGTGGGAATAATCCTAACATGGTACAGAGACCCGGATCCGCTGGAGACCCGGATCCGACGTAGATGTTATCGCATGAGAATGTGAAGGGTAAGCTAAACAGTTGCTCGATTCCGAATCTCGGGTACTTCGGATTTAGTTTTTGGCAAAATTTTAGGTCTTAGGGCAGTAATGACTAATCAATTTTTTCGAGTAATTTGAACCACTTGTAGAGAACGATCCTTTTCATTGTAGTGTAAATGAACTGAAACCCAAAGAAGAATTATCAGTCAGTTGTTGGGATTCAAAACAATCAATCAAATCCGTGCCCTTCAGGACCTTGTGCTAAGAGTTTAGTAAGTAGGAAAATCACCGCAAATAAAAGAAAAAGTACAGGAAAGATAAATAAGAAAGAACACACCAGATTTAACGAGGTTCGGCAACGTGCCTACGTCCTCAGGAGCCACACCACATAATTCTTTGATTAATTTGAAGAAAATTACAATGCCCACAAATAGGTTTTTATCTCTCTGAAAGAATCCTCTCAAAACCCTCTTTTTCACGTGTTCTAATAACCCTAAAAACGTTTAGGTATATATAGGATCCCAGCCCAAAACAGAATCTCAAACTAATCAGGAAACTGAAAATCATGACATCAGTCGACCGGACCAATGGCTTCGGTCGACCGACCAGAGTGTCAATTTTACAGAGTCTGCTCGTGCATATTTTCGATCGACCGGACCATCACTGTCGGTCGACTAGCCATAGCGAGCTTCTCACGCGCGTTTCCTGCAGGCGTCGCGGTCGACCGGATCTCCTCCGTCGGTCGACCGAACTGGGGTTTTCCAGTTTTCTTCGTTTGTTTGATTTCGGGTTTGGGTCTCCACACCCGAGACCAACAATCTCCTACTTGGAGATCAAACCGCCATCAACGAGCTCTCTCGAACTCCCACCTTCTTCGCAAGCATCTTCTATTACCCGAAAAAATCCATTCTTCAATCATCATCGACTCCTACGCGTGAAGGCCAATTGAAGTTGCGCACAACTCCAGTTTGTCGATAGTCACTACTTTCGTCAACATATCCGCAGGATTTTGACTCCCCAAAATCTTCTCCAATCGTAACTTGTCGTCCTCAATCTGCGAGCGTATAAAGTGGTAACGTACGTCGATGTGCTTCATTCTGGCATGATATACTAGATTCTTGGCAAGCTGTATAGCACTCTAGCTATCACAATAAAGAATGTCGTTCCCCTGCTTCAAACCCAACTCTTCCAGACACCCGGTTAACCAAATTATCTCATTGCTGGCTTCAGTCACTGCGACATACTCTGCCTCAGTCGTGGAAAATATTACAATCTTCTGCAAATATGAGACCCAACTCACTGCTGTCGACGCCAAAGTATAAACATACTCCGTGGTGCTTCGCCTAGTATCATGATCACCAGTAAAATCTGCATCCACGTATCCCCGTAGTACCAACTCCTTCCTCCTGAAACATAATAGCATATCCGTAGTCCCTCTCAAGTAGCGGAATATCCACTTCACGGCCTCCCAATGCTGCTTCCCTGGATTGCTTGCAAACCTGCTCACAACTCTCACTGCATGGGTGATATCCGGCCTCGTACAAATCATCGCGTACATAAGACTACCAATGGCTGATGAGTATGGCACCCTGCTCATGTGCTCCTTTTCTGCATTTGTCTTGGGTGATTTCTCCTCAGATAACTTGAACTGACTTCCAAGGGGTGTGCCGACGGGCTTAGCATTCTCCATGTTGAACCTCTAAAGTACCTTCTCGATGTATTCAGCTTGACACAACTTTAACGTCCTTTCAGCTTCATCTCTACTGAATCGCATCCCAAGAATTTGCCTTGCTGCACCCAGATCCTTCATAGCAAACTCCTTCTCTAATTACTTCTTTAATTTGTTTATCTCCTCTAAACACGGTCCTGCAACTAACATGTCATCAACATACAATAATAACATGATATAGTTGGACTCGAACCTCTTGAAGTAGCAACAATGATCCGAATTGTATCTTCCATAGTCATTGCTCTGCATGAAGTTGTCGAACTTCTTGTACCACTGTCTCGGTGCCTGTTTCAATCCGTACAAGCTCTTCTTGAGCTTACACACCATCTCTTTCTTTCCTTATTCTATAAAGCCAACAAATTGCTTCATGTAGATTTTTTCATCCAAGTCACCATGAAGAAAGGTAGTCTACACATCCAACTACTCAAGATAGAGATCTTCTATAGCTACTAAGCTCAATATCACTCTAATGGTTGTAACCTTCACAACAGGGGAAAATATCTTCTTATAATCCACTCCTTCCCGCTGTTGGAACCCTTTCACAACTAATCTGGCCTTGTACCTTTTGCTTCCATCACTCTCCTGTTTGACCTGGTAGACTCATTTGTTATGTAAGGCTTTCTTCTGTATAGGTAGTTGGGCTAACTCCCATGTCTTATTAGTGTGTAGAGAATTCATCTCTTATTGCATTGCATGCTTCCACTGTTGAGATTCACTCACTTGCATAGTCTCCTCAGAGCACTCTGGTTCTCCGTTATCTGTCAAAAGTAAATAATCAAGTGATCAGATATATCTGGGATTCGGTTTGGGCACCCTGGATGACCTCCTAATCTCCACACCCTGGGTAGTAGCCTCTGCACCTGGAGTCTCCTCCGTTCTTCGGTCAGAACTAACGGTATCACCCCCTCTGGAAGTTCCTCTAAATCCATGTACTCAGATCCACTTCCATCTGTAATGCTGCTCCCACTGCTTTGGCTATCCTTCGCATTATCCCTATCCTTGTACATCACCTTTGTTGGCCTTCTTGTTTTGATGATGTTTAACAAACAATTTACTTCTAATGTTGTTTGTCTAGTGTTTGTGTTTTCATATTTTTTCTAGGCAAACAACGAGTTGGAGGATGGATGGAATAGCACTTCAACGACGATATCAAATAGAGGTTGATGGAATTGTGGAGTGAAGCAACATACAATTCAAATTAAAGATCAAGTTCAAGCTTCATCCACAAAGTGTACCAAGTCAAGCTTATTGAAGATCAAGATCGGCTTGGGTAATTTAGTTTAGGTGTTATATTATGTGTGTTGGATACTCTAAGCTCAATTTCATATACACACATACTTATTGGTTTCTTCGTATATATATATAGTTATATATATATATATACATAAGTTTTTGGTTTCTATGCATATATATAGTTATATATATACATACATGTGTTTTGATTTTTATGATATTACATATTTCATACTCTATTGTGTTTTAGTACTTATTGCATAGAATATGTAATTTTGTGAAAATATTGTCTTATTAGTTTATAGACTTCAATATCAGTTTATACATATTTTACTAACTCTATAAAAACATTTCACAAAGTTTCAAAAGTTGGTTTATGTCAAAACATCAAAATTCAAGTATCTCATATTTTCATGTTTTTGGACTATTTTGTAAAATGATGATATTTTTCATTTGGGAAGTCCTTTTTGGAAACCAGTTGCTGTAGCATGTTTATTATCATGTCTACAATCATTACCAAAAGTTTTATATTTTTTGGAATTTATTTGATATTTTAAAATAGTATTTTAAAATCAGAAAAACAGTTTTCAGATTTTATTTTCTGTAGTATCAGTTATCGGTCGACCGCTCATTGTTTCAGTCGGCAGTGGGCAGCAGAGAGTTTGTCGGTCGACCGGTGCGGTCGACCGAGAGCTCGAAATTTCCATCGGTCGACCGCACCGGTCCGGTCGACCGCGAGAATTTTCGGTCGACCGCCAATGTGACCGTTGCTTTTCCAACGGCTATTTTCTGAGCTGATTTTTTCTGGGCTTTTTGGACTTTTGCTTGGGGGTTTTGGCTGAGTTTTTGAGTGGGTATAAATATCCTATTGCTGCTCTCTTTCAAGTTAAGAAAAAGAAGTTTTTAAACAAGGGTTTTAAAAAGAGTTTAAGTTTGTTTTAAGCTTGTTTAAGGGTTTGGTTTAAAGCAGTTTTAGCTTTCACAAGTGGAGGAGATTATCTTCTTGTTTGGGCCTCAAATCTCCATCTTGATCTAGAGAAGTTTTCCTAAACTCAACTCTAGCTTTTATTTATAATTATTTGTTAATTATCATTTCTATTAAAGCTAGTTTTATATTGAGTTTAGATTTGACTTTATCTCATTGTTACACACACCCACTTGAGCTTATTGTATTTGCATTCATAATATATTTGGGGTTGTGAGAGTTGTAACATTGAGTGTGAGCTTTCATTGTGTTCTCATCCATAGTTAAGAACAATCAATTATTGTAATTGAGCCTAATTGTGAGATACACATTGTAATTCACTTGTACACCGAGAGAAGTGTGTGGCGAGAGTCGAGGATCATCCCAAGAGGAGTGGTGTCGGTTGACGAACCTTAGGAGAGGTTGTAACCGAGCACTTGAGGGAGACACGTCTAGTTCAACACTTAGTGGGTGTAGAGTGGAATTACAATAGTGTATTGTTGTGAAGTTTTCGGTGAACTAGAAAACCGAGTGTGAGGAGTAGACGTTGATCGGTGATCGTTGAAAACCGACATAGTGTGGTTGTAAACGTTATTCGGGTGAACGTAAAAAACCCGGTTGTGATAGTGGATTTCTCCCCGGGAGTGGGGAGCGGAGACGTAGGACGGAAGGTCCGAACTCCGTGATCATTTGATTGTGTTTGAGTGTGCTTTGGCGTTTATTCTTATTTGTGCTCATTGCTCATTTCGCCATTGTCTCGATATTTATATCATCCACTATCTTGTTTCATTTTGTTTACCCTTGTGTTAGTTTCATATCCTTGCATATATATCTTATAGTATATTTCTTTGCTAGGATATATTTCAATGTTCATATTGCTTATCCTAGTTCACATATCATATTGTATTTCATACTTGCTAGGATAACTTGTTAATTAGTTTTTATTGGCATAAAATCAGATTAGA